AAAAAAAGAGGAGGAGGAGGAGGAGGAGGAGGAGGTGTGAAGCGTTAGGTACTCCTGCCCATTGAGAGTGATGCCCCGGGCAGTACTCGTAGTGTGGAGACACCACCCCTTTTCTCCCCTCCCCCGATGCCCCACGCTTGTGTGCCCCTTGCCCTATCCTCTCCCCCCCCTCCCCTTCCCTCCGACACATACCTCACCGCGTCACCGCTCATACACCACCTCGCATCGCAGTGTGTTTGTGTGTATGTGTGTCTCTTTGTGTATATACGTACATAGTATATGTATACGTGTGAATGACAAATGCATAGTTTTGCCGGGAGTTAAAGTGAGGCCGGAGGAGAAACAGACATGAGTCAAAATTAAACAAATAAGTCAAATAAGCCAAGTGCAATATCTCTTGCCAAACTACACAAAGTTTGCAACGACGCTAGAAATGAGTATACCATCTCCAAAGATCAAAATATAAATTGCAGTCTCGTGCAAGTGATATGCAGCATCCCGGAGGCGAAATGGCAATAGGGGAAGGGAGGGGATAACAGGGAATCGCAATGAGGGAGAGAAGAGGGAAAGAGAGAGAGAGGGAGGAAGAAAAGGAGTAATAAGGGGAGAATAGGGAGATAGATTAACAGGGGGAGAGAGAAGGGAGAAGGGGGAGCAGAGAGATAGATAAAGGGGGGGGGCAGGGAGGCGGGGCAGTATAAGACAACCTTGTGAACATCCTGGCGAGCACGATGGTCCCGGATGTTGCCTCTCTCGCCCCACTGCTCCCCGAGTATACGCTCCCCCCTTCTCCCCTCTTCCCCTCCTCCCCTCCTCCCCCTCCTCCCTCTCTGCCCTCCCTATCCCTTCCTCCTCCCCCACCCCCCTCATTCCGATCTCCTCTAACCTGTCTCTAAATTTTATCCCTCGGTGCCACTTCTCTCTACATCTCGAATTCCTGTTCGTCTCTCTTCTCTTCGCTTCTCTCCCTTCGTTCGCGTTCACTCACTTCCTCGGCACAGTTCAGCTCTTGTCTCCTCTACCCTTCGTGTCCATATCCCCCATACATCCCCCCTCTTTCATCCGTCTTCTTGGTTCTACTCCCTTATTTTTCTTGCTTCCTTTCGTGTCGTCTTTCTCTCTTCTCTCTCTCTCATTTCTTTGAATTCTCTCTCTCTCTCTCTCTCTCTCTTCTCTCTCTCTCTCTCTCTCTCTCTCTCTCTCTCTCTCTCTCTCTCTCTCTCTCTCTCTCTCTCTCTCTCTCTCTCCCTCCTCCCTCCCTCCCTCTCCCTCTCCTCCTCCCCTCCTCCCTTCTCCCCTCTCTCTCTCTCTTCTCTCTCTCTCTCTCTCTCTCTCTCTCTCTCTCTCTCTCTCTCTCTCTCTCTCTCTCTCTCTCTCTCTCTCTCTCTCTCTCTCTCTCTCTCTCTCTCTCTCCCCTCCCTCTCCCTCTCCCTCTCCTTCTCTCCCTCTCCCTTCTCCCTCTCCCTCTCCTCTCGTTCTCGTTCTCGTTCTTGCTCTTTATTCACCCCTCTTCTCTTTTTCCTTCTTTCCTATTTCTTCTTCATCCTGCTCTCCCTGTTCTCCTGGTCTCCCTTCCGTCCCCGTCTCCTCCTCTACAGCAGCTGCGGAAAGAAGTCCTCAGCACAGGAACACGAAGAAGAAAAAGTTGATCCTCATGTGTGACTCCTTTGCTTAATTCTCCTGTAGACTGTTATAGCTGGCGAGGGTTGGCTTTTGCTTTCGCTTCTTATGATTATAACCTTTTATTACATTTAAAACAAAAAATAATGAAAAAAAAGAAGTTATGTGAATGTGTGGCGATGTTGTGGTGACACTTACCTGTAGCTGGCGGAGGTGAAGGCTTAGGGGGAGAAGGAGGTGGTGGTGGTGTCTCTTGATAAAGGAGGAAGACGTGGAGGATAGAGAGAGAAAGAGAGAGAGAGGGTGATGCTTAGGTAAAGAAGAACTGGAGGAGGAGGAGAAGGAGAAGGTGAAAGATTAGGAGAGAGAAAGAGAGAGAGAGAGAGAGAGAGAGAGGCAGAGCAGGAGAGGCTTTGTGTGGTTTCATAGTGTAACGGGCACACTGTTGTTGTCATTGCAGGCGTGGGGGGGGTACTGGTAGACAACAAGCCTAAGTGGCAGTGCCCCGTGTGCTACAAGTTACTGAGCACGAGGTCCAACTTAAAGATCCACGTGCAGGACAAGCACTCCTCGCTGCAGCACGCCTTCCCCTGCCCCGTGTGCGGCCACGTGTACAAGACGCGAAACTCCCTGCACAACCACATGAGCATCCGGCACCGCGGGGTCAGGATGCCGCCGCCCCCCCCGCACCCGCTGCCCTAGGCCTCTCCTCCCCCCCCACGCCGTCACCCTATCGCTGCCGCCGCCGCCGCCACCAGCACCCGCTCCACCTCCGACGGCGACCCCCGGCACGCCTCCCCCTTCCCTCAGAGGGACCCGGGTCCTTCCAGCATCCGCAAGGGTGACCTCAGTCCCCTCCTCAACCTCCGAGGATGACCTTAAGCCCTGCCAAGTGCCACCTCTACCTTCGGCGAGAGGGTGCCAGACCCCCCTCCCCCACCACTCCCACTGCCACCTCCTCCTCTGAGGGCGACCTCAAGTCTCCCTCCATGGCGACGTCCTAGCCTCGCATAACGGCCTGCTCCCTCCTCCCTCCCCTTGCAGGCTCCCCGGGCCCGCCTGGAGGACGAGGTGGCGGTGTTGGCGGTGGCGCGGCCGGGGCCCGTGTGGCCCGTGTGGCCCATGTTGCCTTGCAGGAGCCGCCAAGCCTCCCGCCCCGGGTGGCCCGTCGGCGGATCCCGGGGCGCTGCCTGCCCAGGGCACGAAGGCAGAGTCGCGTGCGCCCGGGAGCGCACGCGCAATGCACCTGGCCATTGCAGTTCGTGTACTTAAGGAAAGGAGGATCTTAATTGATGTTAATTAGATAATTAAGTGAATGTGACAGGGTTTTATAGGGTGAATTGACGTACGTGACCTTAGTGTTGATGGTGATTAACGTACAGAGAAGCTTCTGTGCGCACACGCAAGCGAAAGCGGACAGACACGCAAACACACACACACACATAACGGAAATGTCCCAGATTCTGTATTCTCGATCGAATTGCCTGGCCGCCGTGCCTTGTGATGAGCGTGCAGTTGGAAATCGACACCGGCGCGCGTGCGCATGTGTACAAGTGGGGATGTGCATGCCGTCCGTGTGCCCAGACGCGCACACGGACGAAGACCAAGTGAGACTGTGAGGGAGAGAATGAGGAGTAGCTGTGGCTTAGGTGAGGGAGTGAGACCGTGCCGTGTGGCGGAGTGAGTGATGTGTGGCGGAGGCGGTGTGGGTGTAGCCATGAGCCCTGCGAGAGTTCCGGCCGAAGTGGGCCTTGACACCTGCGGCCACACCCCTCCTCGCGCTTTTTATGCTTATTTTCTCTTTTTTTAATGAGTCTTTTTCCACCCCTCCCTTCGCCCTTCGTATTTTCGCCCTCCCCCCTCCCCCCTATCCACAATTCCCTGATCTTGTTTTATCTTGGGTTTAATTCTTATGCACTCCATGTCTTGCATTCTTTTAATTCTATCTCCTTTCTTCATATATATATTGTTTTTCCCTTCACGCACTCACTATTTTTCTTCGTAATTCTTCGCTCTCATTCTCTTTTCCTCTCGTGTTTCACTCTCGCCTCTTCCCTTTCGCCGCCGCCGAGGTCAGCGAAGATTAGATTTTTGCAGCCGGAGGTTTGTGCTTGGTGATCGATGTGTTGTTCTGTGCTGAGTACCAACCGGCGACGCTGCTCTCGCTCTGTCTCTCTCTCTCTCTCTCTCTCTCTCTCTCTCTCTCTCTCTCTCTCTCTCTCTCTCTCTCTCTTTCTCTTTCTCTTTCTCTTTCTCTTCTCTCTTTCTCTTTCTCTTTCTCTCTCTCTCTCTCTCTCTCTCTCTCTCTCTCTCTCTCTCTCTCTCTCTCTCTCTTTCTCTTTCTCTTCTCTTTCTCTTTCTCTCTCTTTCTCTTTCTCTCTCTCTCTCTCTCTCTCTCTCTCTCTCTCTCTCTCTCTCTCTCTCTCTCTCTCTCTCTCTCTCCCTCTCTCTCTCTCTCTTTCCTCTCTCTCTCTCTCTCTCTCTCTCTCTCTCTCTCTCTCTCTCTCTCTCTCTCTCTCTCTCTCTCTCTCTCTCTCTCTATATATATATATATATATAATATATATATATATATATATATATATATATATATATATCCATTCACCCATCCATCTCTTCCTCCCTCCCTCCCTCCCTCTCTCTCTCTCTTTATATCTCTCTTTCTATATCTATCTATCTCTTTCCTCCTTTCCTCCCTACCTCCCTCCCTCTCTCCCATCTGTTTATCTATCTATCTATTTATCTATCTATCTATCTCTCTCCCTCATCACCCACTCATACTCCCTTTGACTCCCTCTCCCTGCCTCCCTCCCCTTTTATCATCTTGTTCTTACTCCGAAATAGCTTCCATATCTTCAGTCTCCCATGAATCAACACAGTAATGTTTATGTGCACACGAAAAAAAATTCCATAAGCAGGCAGAACCAGCATGCACGCACCAACACGCGCACTCAAACACAATCACACACACCTGCACGCACGCATTCCCACATGTTGACAGTATGTTGTACCCTGATCGCTCGCAAACAAAGTCACTCGGAAAAGAAAGAAAAAAAGTAAACACTTTTTGCGTTTTATAAGATGACAGGCACTTCGGGGCCTTAGTGTCACGCGAGCAAAAGCAGCATGTCAGTCCCCGAGTACAGAGGATCCGCACATGCAAGCTAGGTACTCCTAAGCAGATGACAGTGAGATATTTTTTAAGGTTTTAGATTGTAGTTGTAGAGACACAGGCCGGATTTGATGTGCCGTGGCCTGTACCCAAGCCTTGTGTGCGTATGTGATTGGCTGGGCGTTTGTGTGTGTGAATGGCTGTGTATGTGTGCGTGACCCACGGTTGCGTACGTGTGCGTTTGCATATATGTACACCATGAGTTGCCCCGTGATAAATATATGCTGGCCTCATGTCCCTCTCTACTCCAGCTTCCCCAACCCCCTCCTGAACCCCTTCCTTCCCCCTCCCCTCTCCCCTGCAGGCGCGTGAGGTCGCCAGTATACGAAGTGTTGCGCGAGACACTGTACTTACCACACAGGTTCCTCTTGTAGACTTTATAAGGCTATTCATTCCTGGTTTTAAGTAGGGGAGGGAAGAAATGGGAGATGATTATACATTATATATATATATTGTAAGATGTTACTGCCGTCTTGTAGGGCGAGGTACTACTGTTAGCATTTACTTCTGAGTTACGAGTGTGCGAGGGAGTGAATGAGTGCGTGTTGATTTCACTGCCTGTAGCGAACAGTGGCTTGTTCAGTGATTGTTATTACGAGTTTAAGCCATACACCGCGAGGGAAGATCCGGGCGCTGCGAGAGAGAACAAAGAGATTCGGAGAAGAATCCCTGAATAACATCAAAGTTAATTCAATCACTCTCGCAGCTGTCAGCTCCCCTCTTCCAGGAGTCTGTTACCGGGTTTTGTTGGCGATAAAGTTCCGGGTCGTGTTGTTGACAAACTATTCGTGTCACCCTTCGCCAGCCTCGTGTGTGAGGCCGCCATGACCATATGCTCCCACCACAATTAAAAATAACCATAAAAAATAAAAATAGCTAAAAAAAATTACGTAAAAAAACATAAATCTGTCCTGCCCCCTCCTTACCCGCCAACCTTTCCTTCCATATACATATCCATTTTCTTGCCCCGATTCCGACCCACCCCTCCCCTGCCACCCATCACCCTCCCCCTTTCACCCTACCCTCCCATGCCTTCCAAGCCAAGCAGGTGTAAGAGAAAAAAGAAAATATGTCTTGGTGGTCACGTGATATGAAGAACCGAGTGTGCAGGTCCTCACGGCGTGCAAAAAAGCGCGATGCCATGCTCCTGCTGTAAGCTAGGTACGAACACAGACCAGAATGATGTTTTTTTTTTTTACTGGATACCGGAGAGAGAAATGCCTTAAGCTTTTCTCTGTCTCCTTCTGTATGACCCGAGGTTGTTGAAGGCTTAACCTGTATGGTGTGCGTAGTGTAAGACTTGAAGCGAATGGTGCCGTCATAGTCTGGTTTGGAGTTTTGAGGTGAAATTAGTATTGATTATAATGCCAACCATTTTATACTGTTCGTTCTTATTTTGAAAGACAAAGGCAACCATGTGATGTCGACCCTGTATATGGTTAGGCTATTAAAGCGAGAAATGTGATCTAATTTGTTTATGACTAATTAAGAAAAAAAAAACGAGAGCTGTGTACTGTTACCTTTTGTATTATTAGATGATTAAGGTGATTGTAAAATTAGCTAATTAACTTTACAATTAGGGAATTAAAAACAAAGAGCTGTGTGTTGCCATTAGGTGCATAAGTAGAGATAATGTGATGCCATATTAAGGTTATTGAATAAGAATACCGTGATGCCATTTTATAACTAAAATTATAACTGAAATGTTTGTTGTGATGCCATCTATGTGTAATTAGGTACTAAAGGAAACAATGTGATGCCATGTTACTATTAGGTTACTGAAACGGAATGTGTCTGCGATTCCATCTTCACTGTATTTTAATTTATTTTTTAAAATGTGTAAGCAAAATGATGTGATGCCAATTAGTCATTTAGAGGCATATATGGACAATGATGTCTTTACCATCGAATTTTTGAAAAGCAATTGCTGTTGTTATCACTAAGACAAAGGTGTAAAGACACAAAATTGTGATTTCGTTATATTAGGTGTAAGCGTAACCAAACATGTGATGCCAACTTGTATCTTTAGGGATGTCTGAAAAAAAAACTTTCTATGGTACTTACCAGTCTTGATTAGGATATAATGATTAAACAAACACACACACAAAAAAACCCACTTGTGATGCTGCCACCCGATGTGTTAACTAGGTTTAAAAAAGGAATTGCATGTGATAGGAACTGAAATGTAACCGATTGTGATAATATGCGTGATAGGTTGAGAACACCAGTCCCTTTACGAGCGTATCTAGTGTCGCCGGAGAGTTCACACTGCAAGAATTGTTGTATTCACGTAGATACTGTACGGTTATTCTCTCTATTGTAAGACACACACATACACAATCCTCTTTCATGTTATTTGTGAATGGTGTGACTTGTGGGTGTTCCCTTTTTGTTTTTTCTCCTTTTTATCTCTCTCTCTCATTTTTTTTGGTTAAGTGTGAAAGGACGTGAGGTTTAGGTAGATGGGGGAAGGAGGGAGGAAGAGAAAGAGAGAGGGCGAGGGTGAATAAGGGGACCGGTGGATGGATGGATGGGGTAGCAGGATGGAAGTGCAAGGTAGTAAGCAACGCCACAATAACCGGGTTGTAGAGCGTGATCCGGGTTGCGCAGCAGGAGGTCCTCCCCCCTCCCTCCGCCCTCCTCCCTCCTCCTCCCACACCCCGGCCGCAGCCACGTCCGGGTCCCGCTCGTGTCTGGGACCTGGTGACCTTGCTGCCCCTGGAGTCCCCCTCCCTCCCCCTGCCCTCCCCTGCCCCTGTCTCCCTGTTCCAGGTCCTGCATCCCCCTCCCTTCCCCCTCCTGTCGTCTCTCCTCCCGCCTTTTTCTTTCTGTCTGTCTCCCTCCTCCCTTCGCTACCTATCCTACCTTCTCTCCCCCGCTCTGCCCCGGCCCTCCCCCTCCCCCCTCTCATGAGTCGTCAAAAATGAAGGGCTGGGGGCAGGACAGAGCCAAGTGGAGCGGCGGAGGAGGGGGAGTGAACTCGCGAGGGGGGGGGGGGTGCGGGGAAGGAGGGGCAGGGAAGGGAGCTCGGGACGCGGGAGGGGCAGGGAGTGGAGCTCGGACGCGGGAGGGGCAGGGAGTGGGAGCTCGGGACGCGGGAGGGCAGGGAGGTGGGAGGGAAGGGCGGGAAGGGGCGGGAGAGGAGGAGGGGCACACTAGGGGCAGCAACGGTGAGCAGAGTTCCGGTCCACGCACGCCCATCGCTGCGCCGCGGCCGCCTCTCTCGCCGTCCGTCACTCGTACCCACATCAAGGCAGCTCCGAGCGCGGGTATGGCGGCGGCGAGGATGACCCGGCTGGCGGATCCGGCCCAATATCCGACGCTTGTTGCAGCCGAGCCAGGCAGCGGCCGCCTCCCCCTTTTCATTCTCTTATCTCTCTCCCTCCTCGTTCGTTCTCCTATCTTCTCCTCTTACCCTCTTCCTTCTTCCTCCTTTATCTCGTTTTGCTCTTCCTTCTTCCTCCTTTCTTTCGTTTCGCTCTTCCTCTTCTTCCCTTCTCCCTTTCCCGTTTTCCTCCCTCATCTTCCCTTTCTCGTTCCTCCATCCTCCCTCTCTCGCCTCCCTCCCCCTCAACCTCCCCCTTCTGCCTTTACCCTCTTCCCTCTTCCTCCTTCCTCCTTTCTCTCGTTTCGCTCTTCCTTCTCTTCTCCCTTTTCCTGTCTCCCTTCATCATCCTCCCTCCTCCCTCAACCTCCCCTCCTTTTTTACCTCCTTTCTCTTTCTCTTCTTCTTTTTCTCTTCTTTCTCTTCTCCTCCTCCCGCCTCCCTCCTCCCTCAAAACCCCCTTCCCCTTTACCCTCTTCTCCTTACTCTCGTTTCGCTCTTTCTTCTTCTCTTCTCCTCTCCCCCGCCTCCTCCTCCCTCTCCCGCCTCCCTCCTCCTCCTCCTCCTCCCTCCTCCCTCCTCCCTCCTCCCTCAACCTCCCTCTCGCCGACTACTCACTCTCCTTCCCGCCCCTTCACTCTCATTCACCCTGCGATCCCCGCTCTCCTACGATGCACTCTGCCGTTTTTTTTTAATGTCCTGCCCTTTCTTCTTCGTCTCCTTCTTTTCTTTTATTGTCTTATTTTTCTTCCTTCTCTGTATCTGTTCTGTTGACATCTGGTAGTCGCCCTCTCGTTCTCCGTTTCTCTTTTTCTCCCTCCATCTGTCCCTCTCTCCCTCCCTTTTCGCTCTTCCTCTCTCTCCATCCTCTCTCCATCTTCTCTTCTCTCCTCTCTCCTTCCTCCCTCTTCTCTTCCGTCTCTCCCTTGCTCCCTATTTCCCGTCTCCCCTCCCCCTTTCCCCTCCTCTCCCTCTCCCTTTCTCTCCCTCTGTCTAAATCCCTTCCCCCCCTCCTTCTTTCCTCTGCTCTTCCTCCCTCTTTCCCCTCCTCTCCTCCCTTTCTCTCCTCCCCCCCCTCCCTTTTTCCATCTCTCCCCTCCCTCTCTCCCTCGGCTTCCATCCATCCCGGGCAGGACATGCGAGCGGTGATCAGTGACGTCGGCGGATCACCCAGACTCGGTCCCTCCGCATCAAATCATCTTTAAGTTGATTGCCGTACGTTGGAAGGAGGGGGGTGGAAGGGAAGGGGGGGGTCTGTTGCGCCACCTGTAGGGGGAGGGGAGGGGAGGGGAGTGGAGGGTTGGGGAGGGACCATCTTCCCCCTCGAGGCAGGCGTGAAGAAAACAGGGGGATAAAGATGATTTATTTTTAATTAAGGAGTCCATTTTGTGTGGCGTAGTTGTGTTTGGGGAGGAAGAGAGAGAGAGAGAGAGAGAGAGAGAGAGAGAGAGAGAGAGAGAGAGAGAGAGAGAGAGAGAGAGAGAGAGAGAGAGAGAGAGAGAGAGAGAGCCCAAGACCACACCCACAAGTTACACACTTTCGTTGTTGTGGACTTTGTACGTGCCACCCTCTACCCCTCCACTCACCTCTACCACCTCACCCCCCCCACTCACTTCACATTCACTCGTCATTAACCCATTGTTCACTTCTCATTCCTTCCCTCCTCTCCCATTTATTTACTTTCTTGGAATCACAGTTCAGAGTCTGTATCTCCCCAAATCTTTTCAGCGGCGAGCCATCTGTCGTAGTTTGTGTGTCATCTGGCGTCACACAAGCCATCTATCACCTGTGCACCATCTGTCCCCTCGCCTCTTGCTCTGAATGTCATTGCACAGACTCATGTACTTTCATTGTCAGACATACTCACACACTCACATATACGCGTGAGCATATACATACACATTCACAATCATACACACTTTCATTAATTCTTTGATATTCATACTCAATTAGATACATGCTCATTTACTCACTCACACGCATACTACACACACTTACTCACTCACCCACATTCATGCATTCATGCATCACACATTTACTCATAGTCATACTCGCACACTTACATTCATACTCACATTCTTACTCACATTCATACCCACACCCTTACTCACTTACTCATTTACTCACTCACTCACACACTCACCCAGTAGCAGTCGCGCATCTTCACCTTTGACACGTACAAGTTATAGAATCCCTTGTTTCCCACCCAACCATAACTGCCACATTTGCACACTTGTGACCCTAAAACATGTCTATCATTTCTCGCTTTATCACTTTCATCATCCCCTCTTATCATCCTTTTTCCGTATTTGTCTATGACCTTTGACCTCTAGAACAGTCCCCTCATACATACATACCCCTTTCCTCATAACATGACCTGTATCCCACCCGCCCATTTTGTTTTTATAGATATAAAGAAGTGGCAATTTTTATAAGAAGAATTCTATGTTTAGATTTAAGAGAGAAAAAAAACTGCTTTCCTAGATAGCTTTAGATGGACAATATAATGATATATATTTTTTTCAATTTTTTTTTTGTATTAGGTGTCATCTACAACTAGTGCTGTGATAGATAGGCATAAGAAATACCCCCCCTTACCCCCACCCTTCCTCCTCCCTCCCCCTTATGAAAAAATGAAAAGTAAAAAGAGAGAGAGAGAGAGGTTGATAATTGTGGTTGCCTAAACACGTTTGTATACAGAAATGGATAACTTATTTTTGTTACGAGATATAAAAAAAAAAACGAAGATACAATAAAAAAGAAACATTTTTTAAGCGAAAGAGGCCCGGGAAAAATGATCCCTCCTCTTGATTCTGTGAAGAAATGTCTCTTTTTTTTCGTACGTGTGGAATTAGGGATGTGACGTGGAGTGTTTTCGCAGCCCCAAACGCTTGTCGTAGTCGCGGAGCCCCCAACCCCGACCCCCATAGGCCTACGTCTCCTCCTCCCTGTAGGCCGAGAAGGGCTCCATCGCTTTTTAGTGGCTGTGTATTAGCATTTCGAACAATAAACCGTAATGGAAGACCTGTTGTGTTATTTATTCATATCCATCAGACTTTATGTTCTGTTTCTTTGGAACCGGAGAACCCTGAGTTATAACATGACGCGGGGCGGGCGGGGAGGGCTGACGGTGCATTGTTCTATAAATATGGAAGAATTGTAATGTTTTGTCTTACTGTCAGGTTTTGTCTATTGTCTCACTTTCGTTCTTTCTTCTTGATATTTGCACTTCTGTTATCCCCCAGTCTTTTCTCGCATTCAGTCTCTTTTGGAGTATATAGACGAAACAAAGACAAGAAAATGGAACGTCTAGCCGAACAGGTGTGACGGAGACTGCCGGAAAGAAAGACAAGTTGCTCTTTGGGTTGAGAGTCCGTTCCGCCTCGCGGGGCATCGGATCTCGAGGCAGCGTGGTGTAAGGCCTAGCGACACCTTGCGGCCGGACGGGGTTCGCTCAGGCTGATTTCCCGGCGACTTTAATGGTAATCCTTTAATACTGATGATGACATTAGCTGCAAGTATTGTGGGCTAAGGATAGGCCTAGACTGCTCTCCCCGCCTCAGACTGCGCGACCTAACTCTCCCTCTCTCTAGCTGTAGTAGACCCAGTGCTTCTTTAGTGGCGGTGATGGTGGTGGCCCCGCTGTGGTGCAGGCTGAGGCTGGAGGTGGAGGTGGAAGCGCTGTGGATATTGATGGAGGTTGTCTTGCAGGTGTCGCGGCGGGAGGCAGTGTGGGGGCGGGCCAGCAGCGGTGCCCCCTCTGCAACAAGGCACTCAGCCGCTGGACGAGCCTGCGGCGCCACATAGAGGACAAGCACACGCAGGGCGGGGCGCACATCTGCCCCATCTGCCACCACGTGTACCGCACCAAGAACTCCTTGCACAACCACCTGAGCGTGTACCACCGGGGCGCCACGGGCACCAGGGGACGCCGCGGCCGCTATCCCTCGTACACCGTCCTCAGGACTACCAACGCACAGCAGCTCGCTGCACTGAAGGCCGCCGTCAGGCACGCGCCCCGAGAAGGAACCCCGGTGCGAGATCTCTCGGCGCCCCCGGACGCCCTTCCACCTCTTTCGGCGGCCTCGACGGTGGCGCCCCCGCTCCTGCCCGGGGAAGAGATGGAGGATCTGCGAGACGCCGCGCAGGAGGCAGCGGGAGGCTTCGAGTCCCTGCTGCACGGGGACGCGGAGATGCCCCCGGGCAGCCCGCACTCGCACCCCCAGAAGAACTCGGCGCCGCAGACCGAATTCGTGGTGAACGAGATGGTCGATGAGTAGTGGTAGCTCGCGTTCGCACGCCCAGGGCCGACCTCAGAGGTTAGGCCCGGAAGGCCAGAGGCCCTTGGAGGGCAGAGGCCCTATGAGGCAAAGAGGCGCGACCTAAGAGGTCCGGACCTCGAAAGAGAAGCACAAAGTCCCGAGAGCAGCCGAACACCTCCCCCTCCAGCACCGTGTCTTTATGCTCTTCAGTTGTCTGAGTGTAACTTGGTCTGCGAAGGAGCGCCGCGGCCCCGGCGAGGCGGCCGACGCGTCTCTACAAATTAGTACTAGTATTACCTCAGTGGAAATGATATATAGATCTATTTTGTTACCTGATGCGTGTCTGTTTTTTGTACTTAAGATACTTGATTACATGCTTCATTAAGAAGGAAAAAATGTGATTTCTCAAAGTTAGATACATAGAGTGGATGTTGATTACCTGGTGATTAATGTGATGAATTATGTAACAAAAACAAAACAAACAAAAAATATTACTTGAAGTTATTTTTTATATTCTATAATGCTGAGTGAAGCGAGTAAGTCTGAGTGTGAGAGCCTTTGGTGTCCCCTTGATGTTGTAGTGTGTTGAGGCCGTGAGAGGAGCGTGGCAGCGGACCGCCACGCACCATGATAACGCTCCGCGACTCAGTGTTTGAGAAGCTAAATGCTGCTTGTCGTTGCAGGCGGCCACTTGTCTTCCACACCGCCGTCGCCGGTGTCTTCAAGCTTTGTCCCGCCCTTTACGTCTCCGCCGCCGCCGCCCCTCCCGCCCCCGCCAGCCTGCAGCAGCGCCGCCTCCAGCGTGGTCATGGGCGCCGGCGGCGGCGGTGGAGGCGCCCTCACGACCACTGGGGCGAGTGGCGGCGGCCGAGAGGTGGTGGTGGCGAGCGTGGGCGGCTCTTCGGGCGGCGCTGGCGGGCGAGGGGCGAGCGGCGTGAGTGGTGCGTCGTGGGTGGGGGCGCAGTGCCCGATCTGCTTCAAGGTGCTGCGGGACAAGTACAAGCTGAGGACGCACCTGGCGGACATCCACTCCGCCGTGCAGCACGTGTTCACCTGCCCCGTGTGCAACCGCGTGTACAAGACCAAGAACACGCTCACCAACCACATCAGCCTCTCCCACCGAGGCTACAAGAAGCGACGCCAGCACCACTACCACCAGCCCCACATGCAGCCCCCGCCGCCGCCGCCGCCACCGTCGCAGCTGGGACAGCAGCAGCAGGAGCAGCAGTCCCACCAGCAGATACAGCAGCAGCAACTGGCGCTCATTGATCAGCAGGGATCACACCAGCCGCACTGATGATCAGTCACGTGACCCTCGTCCGCCGTGCCAGTCGTCCACAGAGTACATGCACACACGATGTCAGCGTGCTTTCGTAACCCACCCCTCTGCCTTCGACGATTACAGCATAGACCACGTTACAGCCTCCGCCGCAACAAAAGACCTACTTGTACATACTCCGGGACGCAGATATTATTCAGAGTAGCATTTATGTTTCCTAGCAGTGGCTGTTGAGCAAGGTCAGACCAAGAACGAGTAGGAAATAGCATCAATTCGATGTGTTCATGTTCTATTCACTTCAGCTAAAAGATAAAAGGAGTGTAAAAGTGACATTTGAATGGTTCGGTCTCATCATATACATAATATACCTTTTGTAGGGAGACTTAAACAAAACCTTACAATATACACGTTGTTGATTATGCAATAAATTAAACCTCATTTCTATATAAATTTAAAAGAAAAGAAACGTCCTATTTTATATACAGGCGAGCTATATGTGCCAAGTAAAGGAGAAGAAATTTCTCTTTCTTTTTGAAGGTGGCTTGAGGTCCTCCAAGGAGAGGCTGAGGCCCGGACTCGTGACTGAGGAAAGAGGTGAAGGGAAGGGAAGGTGCGGGGGGCGGGAGGGGCCTTCCTCCCCCTCCCTCCCCTCTGACCGACTCCCTCGCCCTCCATTACCAACCTTTCATGAACCGGACGTACTCATCAAGTCAGTATCAAAATATATATATATAAAACCGTACTTTCCCAGTGTATATTTTAAGTCGTGTATAGAATAGAGAGTATATATATGCGTATATACACAACACATAGAAGTTCCTAGACGTAAATTTAATGCAGAAACAACCACGTTCTGGGGACACTTCCAGGGAACGTGTCCCGCTGGTTGTTCGATAGATCTCTTCCCCGCCTTCCCCTAGGCGCGATATATCAGTTGTATACGATTTTTTACTTAGTCACAATAATTAAAAATTAAAAAAACTACCGTAGGATTAGTCTATAGTGATGAATCTAAAGGGTTTATATATATTTTACCGTTTAGCTATTTTTAGTAGTTTTTTTTTTTTTTTTTTTTTGTATAATTACGCGTTCGAAACCATGTTCTTTAGGATGTTTTGGAACCTTTTTAGTCTTACATTAGTTTAGTGTGACCTGAAACAAGGCTATGCTACCTGTATATCCGGGTCACCATACGACCTGGTATGTTTGCATGTTAGATAGTTATGACTTTGGTTTTTAGGTACGCTATTATTGTTGTTGATATTAATATTGTTAGAACTATAATGGAATTATTTTTTTTATTGATTACTATTATTATGATTACTTTTATCAGTATCATTATCATTATTATTAGTATCGTTATTGTTAACATCAGAATGGTTATTATTATTATTATTATTGTTATTATTATTATTATTATTATTATTATTATTATTATTATTATCATTATTATTATTATTTTATTGATGATGTAGTTATTATTATTGTATGATCACTGTTTTTTATATTTATTGCTCTTAGAGTTATTATAACAACTTGTTTTATGATTATTTCCATCATTGTAATTGTATTAGCTGCTGTTATTATTTCGGATGCTGCATATTACATTTTTTTTCATGATTTTCCATTATTGTTGCCAGTATTACGAATTATCATGATTATATCGAGCCAATTTTTTTAGTCGCCATGATCGTGTCATGAGAAAAAAACATTTCGCTGTCTCGTAACAAGTTTTTTTTTTTTTCTTTTGTTATTGCTTCCTCAGAGGACGGAGTGAGTTTGCCATTAGTGTCAGAGCCTCACAATCCTTATCATTATGGGGCGGCTCCCGGCTGTGCTCTCGGGGGGGAGGGGGGGGGGGGGGAGGCCACCTACAGAGCCGGGCTTGACAGAGAGACGAACCCCACTTGTAAACACCATACCAGATACTATACCATACTACACCACACTACACCGTACCACCCATGTCATACCACGTACCACAACGGTGAGACTTTTGACTTTGAGTGTGTGTGTGTGTGTGTGTGCGTGTGTGTGTGTGTGTGTGTGTGTGTGTGTGTGTGTGAAAGAGACAACAGAGAAAGTGAGAGACTTCGGCCCAAAGCCATAGCAACACCTCCCTCCCCTGTGACAGCTTCAGCGGGCCTGTCTTCCCCGGCTTTGCAAGATCTCACAATAACGCCAGATTCCCCGGGTCCTTTTTGTAGCTGGTTCAAGCCATATGCAGTTTGAGCAGTTCATTACGTTCCTATGTTGCGACAGTTCACTAATCATTTAGTCGTCTCATATTTTTTTTAGTGTCTAGACTAGCGGTCAGTTATACGTTCGTAGGAGCGACGTCGTACCGCCTTTTTAATTTAAGTTTTGTGAACATTTTAGTGATCGCCTTTTCAGTTCAAGTTCATTGTTCGGTTCCTAAAGAAAGTACATGATTTACTCACGCTTCCTGGATATATCCCAGTGTAGACGCTGAACGCACACGCACTGACCATACCTTGAAGCCATTTTAGTGCGGATGTTCGTCGACCAAACAGGCTGAAAAATAAAGCTTCGAGTTTATGACCTTATATATCTCTTTTTAAGGGCTTGGGAAACTTGATATATTGGATAACGAACGCGTGTCCATGTAGCAAGGGGGAGAAGTACTTGAAGCCCTGTGTTTTGAAGCCTCGCTTAGTATATAATTACGTTACCGTATGCTTTTTTCACCTGTTGGTTCGATCGTGGCGAGAAATATGCCCGCAGCGTCATCAAAGACGAAAAAAGAATAGTAATGAACTTTTGGAAATCCACTAGACATTCAGGATAATATATCCTCGGATAAAATGCTTTATCCAAGAACGTTTCCAGTAGCGTTCCTTGGGGACGTTAACCAAAGTCGGACATAGATCTCAGCAGCTAGCGACGCTGTCAACCCTTCTGTTGTGTTCTACCTCACGATCCTAAAAAACAAAGAGGAAATATTTTGTCAGGACTTCAGCATGGCAGCCATCCCGCCATGCGCACACGTTGTACTACGGCAAAGGTTAACAGTTCCTAAGGTTAGGGCATGTTCCAGGAGGTTTACCCCGTGTATTCCTGTCTTATTTTTAAACATGTAGTTCGTGCTTACAGATTACGTACTCTGCTTAGAGATTATCGCATTAAAAAGGCAGAGTCGCTTTTTTTTTCTTCTTTTTTTTCTTACTGATAGTTGTTTTGGGCGGGTCTTGTAGGCGGTTAGTCGAGAGCCTGTTTTTTTAATAAATCTAATTTCTATTTATTTTGTATTGTTTAGTAGTGGCTGCGAGGTGAGGGATTGCGTGTGGGTAAACACACCTATGTTGCTATTTGTTAAACGACCCAATATTTTATTTCGTTTTACCTTTATGTGATTTATGCATAAAAAAACTCGTTATTATTCGTTGTGTTTGGGTCAACATTCTATTTATCTCGCCGCGTTTTGTTTTTTGCTTCCTTTCGACTTCGTTAGAGTGCTAGGAAAGGTGTTATTAATTTCTTAGGAGCTGTTTGCGTCGTTGTTTCAAGCGAAAGGCTCGCTCGTGGAACTCAAAGTTGAGCGAAGGCCTACGAAATCACTGATAGGCCTACATACGCCCTCTGGCGTTTGCCTCAGTCCAGCCCACCCTTAGCTGCTTCATAGTATTTTTGTATTACTTAGCTTTTTATTTTTGTCTTGTATCGTAAATAGTTTATTTACCACTTTAGTTATTTTTCTAGAACTGGGCTGTCATGGATGCCTGAAAAAAAACATGTATTCACTTTTAATAGTTAAAAGAATAAGCAGGTGCGGAATATTTTACGTAATAAAGAATTAAAAAGATGTTTCTTCGTTTGATTTT